CTTCCTTTACGGGTGATTTTGCAGTCATTCAGGACAAAAGAAAAACCCGTCAATTCGTATGGGCAGCGTTAATTATGTCAAATGGGATTTTGGAGTCTTCTAGGAAAAAGTGGTCGTTCATACGAACTGAGCTGCACAGGACTCGTTCCTGAAAGCTGCTGGGTTTTAAGTGCTGATCTGCAAAATGGTATCTCCAAGTAACAGAGGGTGTTCTAGAACACAGCGTTCAGAGCTGGACATAAGAGGTTTTGTTTCATAAAGTGGAAAGGTAGCGGAAGGTACGAGGATATTGCAGTCAGCTACCCTTGTGGTTGACTCAACCTCTGCAGTTACTTTAATATTAATTGCATCAGCTGTTTGTTGCTTCATGGGCTAGGAAGACAATTGTGATCATCCTATAACTCTATATGTGATTATGATTTTGATTTCTCGTTATTTATGAAATTATGTCTCTCTTGCTCTTTTTTTTTTTTTTTTTTTTTTTTTAAAACTACTGATGATGGAAAATGCTGCCTCTCGTGAAGGTGTGCAGTAAATCATCCCTGGTCAAATTTTCCACAATAAGCGCCTAAAATCTCATGGGAAAGAGGCATGAAATGGTAATAATAAGCTGTAGTCAGGATACTCCACATACTCATAAGCACAGTAGTCATACAGAAATGGTCCCTTTGGCCTGGGGAATGACAGCATTGAATTCACCTATTTCCTGGTCAGTATTTAGATCCTTGTGTTAGAAAAGTTGGCGCAGATGATTGTAAAGGACGTCTTGGTTTTTAAGAGGTCAAGGCGTATTCCCTTTCCCGCTCACCTGCAGAGATTGATGTGCAGTTGTGAATGAAGCTGAAAGAACAGGACCTTGCCCGGCGTAGGTGGAAGGTGCTAATTTTAGAGTCTTCTCATTGTCTGGGCTTCCTGCCCTTTGTCAGCTGCTACAGTAGCTCAAAAACTATCAGCACAAAGTGAAAGCCCATAAAGGTATCCGAAAGCACACATATCCCAGTTTGCACAGGCTCTCGCTTTCATCTTCTGCCTTCTCCCCGCTCAAAGGCACACGGTGGTGGTCGGCTGCGCGTACTTCACAGTGGGGAAGATTCCAGAGCTTTGGTTTTGCTGTCAGCGTCTCCGTGGCGTGATCTTGTCTTCATGCCAGCTGTTTATATCGTCTCGGTGTCTTTTTCTTTTCCCTTCGCTTTGTCCGCATGCCTTGTGTGCTTTGCTATGGCCGTGGGTATGTAGGGTATTGAAGAGGTAGGTTGTGTGTTGCATGCCATGCATACGTGTGTGTTGTACTTTCAAGGACGGGCTTCCGCCTCCTCCACCTCGCTACTAACATGCCTGCCTTTCCATACTCGCCTTTTCATTTCTGAGCACACCTGCATTCTTCCAGTAGGTCAGATTCACTGAAAAACAGTGGAATTAAATCTGCTAGGATATTCCATTGCGGGATAGCTTGGGCTTTTATTCTCAGTCTCCATACTGCATCAGAATAAGCTCGTTGGTTAAAAAAGTACTCGTTGCTTTCATTCGGTTTATTTTTAACTTGCTTTATTACGTGACATCTGATGATGAATAAATTAAGATGCAAAAACTTATTTGAACAGATTTTAGATAAGCCTCAGCAGTTTAATTTTGCAGAGTTAATCTGTGAAATCTTTTTACGTTCAAAAATGTTCCATTGGAACGATCCATTTGGAGCCTCTGTATTGTCTAAAAAAAGTAAATTAAAATGTACATTCTTCCAAGGGAGTAAACGCTGCATGTGTCCTACTGCTCCATAGTTAACGTTGCATGGCAGAGGAAAACCCTGTTTACTGCAGGAATTACGTATTTTGATTTTCTAGACATTTCTTAATGTATTTGCTGAAATTTTATGGCATTTCTCACTACAGTATCAAGATTTAGAGGTGCTAGTAAGTCCGCTTGCTACACTTACATATTTTAAAATAATATTTTACTTAAATGTTTTTTTGGCAAGTGTTACCATTTTTCTCAACTAACTACTAAATAAGTTTTCAAAATGTGGAATTTCGTTTCTCTTTTATGTTGTATCGAAAGCAAAAATGTAAACTCTGATCCTAATTGTATTAATGGGATACTTCTAATAGTACTGTCTGTTATATCTACATTTGGGCTACTTCTGTTTACATACGAGCCCTGTCTGGAGTTTTGTTTGCTAAGCAATTAACGGTTAAAATTTCTTAGGCTAAAACATTTAATATTTAAAATCTTGGTCAAACCTATATTCTCTACAAGTTCACCTGAGTAAGAACTTCAGTGATGTATGTTTGATTAAAATTTTAAAATTTTGCTGAGCTTCTGACCTGTATAACCTACGGTGGTAGCTGGAGGCATTTAAGAGCCAGGCAGAGGCGGTGCTGAGGGCCAGGGTTTAGTGGTGGGATGGCAGGGGTAGGGGAACGGTTGGGCTTGGGGATCTTAAAGGGCTTTGCCAACCTGAACGATTCGATGATTCTAGGATCGGTGGCGTTGGGTTTCAGAAGCAATTATGCAGGCTGTGGCCAGGAATGGGTGTGCAGAAATTTGGTCTCTAAAAGGCGGTGGAAAGTCCAATTTATGATTAAATCGGTGTCGTGGTCAAGAGTAACGTGGCCATTAGCAATTCTCACTCTGAGAGAAGGAAAGCATTTACAGCCTTCCTGAAACGTAGTGAGGATTAGTACAGGGAGAATTATTTTAAGCATTTAAAAGTGGAACAATTTCAGCATGCCCAAAATATATGTATTTCTATTAAAATAAATATTCGGATATAATGGAATAGTAACAGCAAGGATATGTGGGGTATTGAAATGTTACTGGCTACTAAAAGGGTTTAGGAGTATTCTTTACGGATGCAGTTTTTGTAATATCTTTATTTTTATCATCTCTCATATAAATTGTATAGGAAAAAACCGAACAAGAATGTGAGGCTTATCTAGTTTTTTCATGCCTTTTTACTTTTAAAATGCAGTGTTTTTCACAGGCCTTTGTCACCTTACTGAGTATTTCCATTTTGTGGGACTATGCAAACACCCTCAGAAGGGGGGGGACACACACGTTCACCTGTGTCGGGCGCTGAAGCTGTCACACATTTTGTGTTCTGTCTATTGAATCTCACCAACAATGAAATTAAATTTTTCTTGCTCTGGGACTTTTCTTTAGACTCCTCTTGCAGGCGCTTGTCCAGAATATTTACAGTTGAAAAAAATCCCTGGAATGAAACAGAGCATCTAGTCTTGGAATGGAAAGCTTATTGTGTGGGGAAGTAAACACGTTGTGTGCCCGGAGCGTGGCAGCTGGAGCTGGAGAGGGGGGTGGACGTGATGATGGAGGGGAGAAAGTCTGGTGTGCCAGTTGGGTTGGAGAAGGGCCACAGAAAAGAGAGGAGGCCCAGCTGGGGCTGAAAGAAGCGGAAGGTCGGTCAAGGAGATGTACGATACCAATGGGAAAAGAAAAGGAAGGAAACTGGGGTGGAACTTGGATTTTTTTTTTTTTTTTGTGTTGGGTTGGGTTTTTTGTGGTAAACGTGCTTCAGGCACCCCTTAACACTCATTCTGGGAACCCACGGAGATTCATTTGTAGTAACATCTCCTTTTGTATAAACGCATCCTGGCAGAATATTTCCACGTGGTAGTGGGTTTCCTACCCTAAAGCCGTTCCAGCAGGATCCTAACCCTGTCTTGGCACGGTGCTGTGTTGACAGTGGCTTTTTTCCCCCGCAGTAACGCTGCTGTGACATTTTCTGCTCGTCGTCACACATGCACAGAGCACTAATAATTCATTGGCAGTTTTTGCCATTTCTAAAGCAATGTCGGATTATAAATATCTAATCACGATGCAGATACTTGCTATAAAAAATGTGGTGGGTTCATACAGTGTTTACAAGGGAGCGGGAAGGGATGTTGTGCAGGTTATCTAAGCCAGCTATATCGATAGTGACATGTAGAATTATTTAAGTTAGTATCTTATTACTCAAGCAAACGCATGGTATATTTTCTGCTGTTTTTTTAAAATTTGCACTTTGAATGGCAGACCTGGAGGAATACTTTAGAGCCTGTTTAATTATGCCAAGACTCTGAGAGCTTAGAGCAAGAGGGAGGCTTGCCTCGTTCATTTTTAAAGAGATGAGGTTTAGCAGTAACAAAAAACAAACAAATGAAAGGCCTTTATTTGCTGAGAAAGTTTAGACAATTTTGCATGTCTAACGTACAGAATACTAAAATTTCATTTCACCCTTATAAAAATGAGAATATGCAGCTGCAGCGTAGAAGAATTCTTTGACAATTTGGCCCTTGATGTTCATGTGCTGTCATCAGTCTTCGTTCGAATGAGCCTTGAATGTGCCCAACGGTCCTTCTGTTAAGATGCTGCCCATATCGTTTCCCATTAAGGTATCGTTTCCCATTAAGAATCTTCTTACCTCAGTCAGTCTGGGTAAGCTGGAGTAAAGCATTTTGATCCCTGCAAAATGATCCAGTAATTTCTTTTCCTGAGCCCTGCGGTTAGGAGTCACGTGCAGAATTCAGATTTAATTTTGCAAGTTAAAAAATGACCAGCAATTGATTTTCAAGGAAGAAAAGGCAAAAGTTTGCCTTCTCTCTTGAGAGCCCTTTCAGAGGCAGTTAGGAGTGATGGAATTTCATGGCTTCCACACGTACAGCGAGGGCTGTAGTGTCATTTCTACCAGTGACCCGGCTGTTGGTTACGTTGCAAAGTGTGAGCTGGGAGAGCACCGCATACGGGACCAGCAGAGCGCCAGGTGCAGGATGTCACTTGGAAGATGAAAAAAACATTTAACTCTCCATTATGGACTATTTAGGACAAGGAGGTAAATATTGTACTTCCTTAAAATATAAAATTGCTGAATTTCCCGTCTCCCGGCGTGGCAGCCCTTGTGTTTATGGGATATCCATTATCTGTGCTTCGACATCTGTGTCTGTTTGACCCAGTGTTGCGTGTCCCGTCAAATGACGTGTTTGATATTTGGGTCAGCATGCGTTCTTCAGCGTACGTGATGGACCAGTTCGCAATGGCGGGATTAAAAAAGCTCATAGGCAAACTCCTGCAATAGGTTTCAGAGCACTGAGGTTCATTGCAAATGGATAACGGTGCAAAAGAGCCCTAATTTGGTACGCCAGCCTGTCTCTTGGCGTTGGCTAACGTCAGTTGGTCCTCATTGGATTAGGTACTCCTTCTGCTACTACAACAGCGCTCTCTTGGCAATCTTCCTCATCTTGGAAGAAAACATATAAGCAAAAATAGAATCTAAATTATTAAATACACAATAATTTGAAAATATACATGCTGTTTTCCTCAGGGCAGAAAGAGGGGAGAGAAGAGGGAAGGCTGCACAGCACAGTGCTTCGTTCACCTACTGGAAAGTGCTCAGACAGTAAGGGACAAAGCATTTAGAAAAGCTGTGACAGGATAGAACAGGATAAGTAGCAAATTTTTATCTCTGCTTTTAGAGTGAATTATAGATACGAACAGAGGAGAAATCATGCTTTTTAATGATTTAGTTCTTATTTTTGTTTTAGCCAGGCTTTCTTGTGGAGCTGCTGTGTTTCTTAGCTTGTATTTTTCTTCTTTTTCTCCCTCTGGGGATTTGTCCGGTGTTTCTTCAAGAGCTCACACAATTCTACCTTTCTTTTGCCGTTCTGTTCAATAGAACAGCATCAAAGTCGCTGGGCAGATAGGGAAAGTGAACTTCCCATATTGATTAAAAATGTTAAAAAGAGCACAAAAGGTCAGAAACTGGAAGGAAATACCATAAAATACCTTTCCTAGAAATACACCTTAGTAATGCCAACGGGAATTATGTGTCTGGATCCCTCTGGCAGTGAGATGAAAATATACCTCAGCCGTGCATATAAAGACTTGATTTAGGGGGCTCTGAGGTTTTGCTGCAGGAAAAAAGCCCCCGATGATCTAGTGACACCCAATTCCTTTCCATTGACCCAGCCTGCCAGGCACTGAGCAGCCTTAGATTCTGTTTGCGGGTTTGATCTTCCATCTCTTGAATTTCATTGCGAAGCTGCCGTGGGATTTAGCAATGCCTCTGAGATGGTGAGCGTGGGGGCACACCTGACCCCTTCCCATGTTTCTGAAAAATCTTGGGAAACGGTAGGTAAGTAAGGGAGAGAAATTCCTCCCTGCCTACTCGGGGAGCCCTCGCTGCAGTGGGGCGTTGTTGCCCTGCTAACTCAGAAGGGTGACTCTGCTGTCGAAACCGAGGGTGAGGAAGGGTCTGCGTCTCAGAACTACCTTTTGGAGAGTATTTCAGGGCTATGTTTGCATAGCTAAGGTGATGCTGCAATTGCCATGGCACTGTGCAGCCTAGAGCCACTTTTAATTTACAAATGTTAGTAGTATAAGTAAAAATACAGCGACGTAGACTTCCTCCAAACTCCAGCAAGGCAGACAATAGATCATACTTAAGGCCATGTTTTTGCATTTTTGCTGCTTTTTAAGGTTCTAAGTAATACATCTATCTCAGACCAGTTTATTTATATTTTAATCATGCCATTACTGGATTCTTCAGAAAGCACTCTAGAGTAATAGCACCTACTTCACCTACGATGAGCGGTGCGTCTCAAAGGGAGGAGACCTTTCTTGGGATGAAAAGCTACGACCATTTCACCTTTACAAACCTAGCTCTGTTGAACGAGTATCGATGACTTTTCTGAGCGCCTGCTTGAACAGTATTGAGGTCTAATGAGAAGAAAACTTGGGTTTCTATATCTTATGCATTTTCTTTTCTCTGTTGTTCAGCACTAATATTCCTTTGCAACCATTTTTTCCCTCATATTACCTGTATTTTTCTGCGAAAAGTCCAAACTGTAGCGGAGTTACCTAGGATGCATTCTCCTATCTAAATGTTTCATGGATGTATCTTTTGCTGCCGCTGTTGTGATCATGACTGAGTAGCCCGAGCAAGTCTTTCGGTACAGGGTGGTGTTCCACAGTGGAAAAAACATTGCAGAGCTGGTGGTCTTGCAGCTATTTTAGCAAAGAATTGTTAGCTCTTGGTTCACCACTCAGCCTCAGAAATCAAAGGGTTTGTTCTATTCCTTTCTTTCTCTTTTTCTCTGTTTTAAAATCTTCTTTCTCCTGCTGCCTGTTTAAAAAAAAAAACCCAACAAAATCAAAACCGAATAAATTTTCTAGTTTGAACATTTCTTGTTTCAACCCTGCATCAAAAGCAATCCAAAGGACAAGGGTTGATTAACGGAGCATCCTTGGCCCAGCACACGTTATCCAGGGAGAGGCAATACGATCGCAAAGCCACGCAGAGGAGAAGGAGGGGAGGAGGCAATGCATGCTCGCGTTACCCCCTTTGATAAGACATTTCAGCACGCAGTGGGCGGCCTCTCTGAAGCGGTAACCTTAGAGCATCCTTTACTGGTGCAAGGAAGAATAGGGCTGAAACTTCATGTTGCGGAGCCAGCTTCAGTTAGGAGTCAAAAAAAAAAAAAGGGCGTTTTTTCACACGCTTGTGGGGCTGCGTTCCTGGAAGGGTGCTCCTCGGAGTGCCAGTATGGACGGTTGGGGATGTGCTCATTTGTTTTCCCTCCTTTTCCTTTAAGGATGGACTCACCCCGCTCCACTGTGCTGCAAGAAGTGGCCACGACCAAGTTGTGGAGCTGCTCCTGGAACGAGGTGCCCCGCTGCTTGCACGGACCAAGGTGTGTGTTGTACCAGAATACGTTATCAGCTCTGTGTAACTTCCCACAGAACCTTCAATGTCCCTGAAAGGACAAGGAAGAGGACAGGAACATTTCTATTCTCCCAAAGGATATGTGTTAATGGGTAGAATGATCCAAAATAAGGTTTTCTTACATAATGAGGGACTATCCTTTCCAAATATATGAAACAGTATGCACTCCTTTGCCCCTCTCTATAATACCAGCCTGAACACATGATATACAGTGCTGCTGCAAGCACTTCTCTTGCTTCCTAGGACCACAGGGCACGGGGATGGGAAAGCTGGGTCAGTCACTCCCGAGAGATGATTCCTGGTGTATATTTTCTGATCCTTCATATAAACTAACTAGGAGCTGTGGCTTGCAGCTGCTCCTAATTGTTTTCATGGACTATTTCAGACTTGGAAAATTATTTCAGTGTGTTCTTACTGATTTCTGAAAAGCGCACATCTAAGATTAACGCGTTTCCTACAAATGCTGTCCCCTTGGTCAAACTAATGAGAAAAAGATACTTGTGGTGTAATAGCAAACCCCACTGCGCAGCACTTCACATTGGTAACTTTCAGAGCACCTGAGAAAGGTAGCTGGTGTCATTCGTTGGAGAACAGTGGCATAGAGTATTGCGATGATCTGCTTGAGGTCCCCTGGGAGATCAGGAGGGACAAACAATGTAAATACCGGTTTCAGACCATTGCACTGGTTACTGGGCCCCACTGCCTCAAACATGGCTCAAAACAAGAGCAGTTGGTGTATTCTGACCCTTAGCTACCCTTACGGGAGAGTCAAGACTTTCTCTTGATAGTCTTCAGGAGGTTTTATTGCTGGGTTGCAAGCTTATCGACTACATCAAATTGGGATGTGCTCAAGCTATGCATCCTTGATGGCACCAAGTAGTCTAGCTCATCTGTTTATGTGGGAGGCATCCACAGGGAGATGGGAATTGTAAGGAAAAGATTCCCTATGGTTTCACTGATTCCTTTGGTGGGAGAAAGTGGTTAGGTGAACCTCATGCGTCAACACCCTCACTTCACAAGGAGGTAGAGAGGCTCAGAAGAACAGACCCCGCCACACGTAGTGTGCACGCTTCAGGCAGGATTCCCAGATGGTGCCATTCAAAGGCAGGTGTTACCAGTCAGGACAAAATATCAGCATTGCTGTGGCAACATCTGGATGACCCTGCTGTGTTGAGGAGTGAGCGGAGCAGAACCGTCCAGTGAATATTTCCCTCCTTCCAGGTAACAAATGAACAGTCAGTTTGACCATGCCAAGTCATTACCTGTTCAAGTCTGTACGTTAGTCTTATCTTTGAACACGCAGTGTTTTTTAAGTACCTTGTTGCATGTGAAATGAAATTAGATTTAAAAGCAACTTCCTCTTCCAACTTCCAACTGGAACAGGTGGTTCCAAACTGCGGACAGACAAATATGTAAACACTAAAAATACTTTTTCTGAAAAGAACTTGCTATATGTATTAATAGCAACAATTCTCTTTCCTCTTAATTTACCTTCCGGGGACTTCCATATTTACAAAAAGATCTATTAAAGCCAGACAGGGCTCTAAAACTCCTGCTTCCACTGCCCCTCAAGCCTTACGGTTTCAACAGAAGGTCCAACCAAGGTGGTGGTTGAAAGTGTCATTTCCCAGAGGCTCAGGGGTCAAGTTTACCAATACAATTTTTTTTTTCATTGAACACTTAAAGAAGGAAGATATAGGTTCCTTAATAACTATGACGATGGGTAAGTAGGTGCTTTTTCTCTAATTAACATAAAAACTGTGTTATGTAAATATACGTATATATTCTATATATATTGTGTAATTATATGTATATAGTGTTATGATGAGTATCCCCAGAACCGTCTTTTAAGGTCAAGGTGTGTTTTAATAGATCATGAGGCAAGACCCCTAGATTCTTTTGCTTTGATGAAATTCTGATTTTAATTAATTGTATGAAGTTCCTCTAAATTTGCCTGTATTTGCTGGAGGGGGAGGGAAGGCTATAGCTTTTTTTCAGTTTTTCCTCCAGTCCGTAGCTCAGATGCGGCTCTGCCTCAGTGATGGGGGTACTCTGCAAACTCGTGATGGCATCCTTCTAATATGTGCCGCGATCCAAGCGAGAGTTACTAGCAGTTACTGTTCTTTTTTCTTTCACCGCAGAATGGACTCTCTCCACTTCACATGGCAGCCCAGGGGGACCACGTGGAATGCGTCAAACACTTACTGCAGCACAAAGCGCCCGTGGATGATGTCACGCTGGATTACCTGACCGCCCTCCACGTGGCCGCACACTGCGGCCACTATCGTGTCACCAAACTCCTTCTGGACAAGAGAGCAAATCCCAATGCTCGTGCCCTGGTAAACCTGTCCCACCTGTGTCATCTACCAAAGCTATCCAGGGCAGATGAGTAGCTCTTACCAGTAAAGCTAAGTGAAAACTCTGTCAACAAACTCCAACAACCTTAAAGAGTAACAACAGGGGTTGTCACACCTGCTGACTACCAAAATTGGATCTCATCATTAGGCCTAGTCATGGACCAGGTCCCATGGCAAGTGGCTGTAGTATCAGGTCTGGAGGCTCTACAGAGTTCCTAAAATCAGAGCCATTCCTAGCTGATGCTAACGTATGCATTGGTATTTTACTGAATTCATAGTTCAGTTTTCCATACTGCATGATATGATACACAAATGATTTCTAAGCTTTCAACTGAATCACTAAGTTAATTGGCATGGGGAGAATACATTAAAAAGCTAATGCTTCTGCATTTCTCCAAGTATGACATTCCCCTCTCTTGGGTGCCACTTTCCTTCCTTTCCAAAAAGCAGTTCTGATGCTTACAGGCAAACAGGTACGATTCCTTTCACTCACTGATTATCCCCTAACTGGGAGAAAAACATCACATTTGGCTTCGGGAACATATCAAGCTTTCAAGAGTCTTTAATCTAACCCAGATAAGATCCCAATTTTCTCTAATTGGAAGTGTCCCCATGAACTCTTAGCTGGATGGAAGGTAAAATACCAATATGTTACACTCAGTGGGGGAAAGAAAGAGACTGAACACTTGAGGTACTTCTGCATGGCAAGAAGTCTGCCACTGCCTGCTGTATTCAGTCCTTCCACAGACCTTCCACCACAGGCCTCTACTCCGATGTCTTCCCCAGCTTCTTGTCTTCAGTATGACCCCATGGTTTGCTGGGAAGGCTCCCCTATCCCTTATTTCCATTACTTCCTTGGCACTGGCTTTTTATTGACGCAGTTTTCTTCTGCCCTCTCCTTTTTCTTGGCCTCTCTATACCCACAAATCCCATAACCCCTCACGCTTCCTCTCCATACGCGTCTCTTGTTTTGCCTTTCTCGGTATCGTGTTCACTTGGTTGATTTTTTTCAATGCTGTTTTCATGCTTTCTTATTTTTCTTGCCCGCCTTCTGATTGCCTTCAGCTATACTTCCCTCAGCTACCCAGGTTCTATGCTAACCCCCACATCTTCTTTCTTTCCTTCCATGACCAGAAATACACTTTCTGTTCCCCTCCCTCCCTCCCAGAGAAACATCTGCAACGAAAGGCAAATGCCCTCAGGCCGCTGCCTCTCTGCTCTCTTCCCTCCAGACTGGTTTTTTTTTTTTTTCCCCTCTTGTTACCTCTCCCATCAGGGACCTCCGGCTTGTTTATAGTATTCAATATATTAAATGATGCTTGCAATTTCTGTTAGCGATAAGAGTTTTGTTCTGCCTTCTCCTCTCCCCCAGCAAACTCTTCCTCACTTAAGTAGAAGTAGCAAAATTAAATCAACCCAGGCAGTAAAATTAAGTGAAAATATGGAAACTTCTGAATCTGTAAAACTCCCTATGAAATATGTTGAGAGATGTTGTGCGGGAGGTATGATACCTAATGGGTTTGATTCCTTTAGAAATTGGAGAAGGCCAATAGTAGTAATAATATTCAGCAGAGTCCTGTGCTGGATTAAATTTTACGAATAATTAATTTTCAGGTAGATTTAAAAAAAAAAAATTGTTAATGTTTGCAAAATGATTTGGGGATACAAGCACTATGTGAGTCCTCAGCTTTTTCAGTTTGTATCTGCTTTAAAGCCCCTTCCAGTCGACCGGTAATTAACATTTCCCATAACAAGAAGCTGACTGCTACCTGTCATGTGCCTCTTCCCGTGAGCTAAGATTTTGCTGCGAAGTCCTGTTCACTGCTAGCTGACTGTTCAGCAACACTGATCCTTTTCATCAGAAAATAGAGCATTTTCTCAACATTATCTAAAAACATTACCTGTGCTTTTCACTAAAACGTTCACGTAGGGTGAATAATGTGTTGGCTTAGCTTCAGGCACACGCTTAACCTGCATTAACTAGAAGAGTCCCTAAAAAAAGCCTGACGTCAAAGCACGTATTACCGTAGAGAGTATGAAGACACGCTTTGATTTGGGCCCCAGCCTTACTGAAAAAGCATTTCCAGAGAAATGAATACGCGCTGATGGCAAGCACAACGCTAGAAGTGTTGTCCCGCAATACAAAATGCTAAGTCACAATCTTGATTTAAGATGCTCCCTTCCCCACCCCCCTTTCATTCCTGTCCCTGCCCCGTTGAATTTTAATCCAGACGAGGGCTGATACCTTGCTTACAAACATGGGACGGGAATAAAGGAAGGGGGGTGCCACAAACACTTGAAGAGTGAACACTTTGTATCGTGAAACCAGGGCTCAAGTAGTGATTTTTTTTATTTAAGGTACCTCACAGGGTCCACACGCAAACGTGAATGCAATATACCGATGCATAAATATAAAAATAAACACACGCAGATGCCTAGGTAACGAGATATTCCAAACTGACAGATGAAACAAGGTGGAATCTGGAAGAAGGACTCTGTTCTTTTCCCAGAGGGGTATCGAACATGCTTTATACATTTCCAAAGGCGCTAACTGATTTCAAAGCGATCGCTGGCATTTCTTATATTTTCCTGGCGTTAGGCAATCTTGGGAGCCACTTTTAAGTCATCCTTACATACATGGAACCGCATAGATCCACGCGCGCGTACCCTTGGAAGTCAGCACGGGCGTGTCCTGTAGTTGGGGTTTGGAGGTGGAAGTTGGGTTTCTCTCCGTTGCCTCCGAGGAAAGCGGCGGTGCTGCTTTGTTGTGCCGCAGATGGCTGGGAGATGGCTGCGATTGATAACCCGTTGTGCTTAAGGAACAGTTGCTTCTGGTACTCTAACACTTCTGCTCCCGGTGTGCCGGCATGGGGCTGCGTGGAAAGTGTAGCTGCATGTTTTTAACTAACATGACTGTCTTTTGCACAGAATGGTTTTACTCCACTGCACATTGCCTGCAAGAAAAATCGCATCAAAGTCATGGAACTCCTGGTGAAATATGGGGCTTCAATCCAGGCTATAACAGAGGTAGAAAAATGTTTCGTGTCCTGCAGAAACATTCCTTTTCTCTCTCCCTTTTTGCTTCCTTTTTTTCTCTCTCCTCTCCATGCCTCACCTTCACTTATGTTTTATTTAAACGAAGAAGCCCCCTCCTTTACGCCCGTGCAGAGGAGTAAAACTGCTCTTGCTTTGTTTCGCAGTCGGGCCTCACACCAATACACGTGGCTGCATTTATGGGCCACTTGAACATAGTCCTCCTTCTGCTGCAGAACGGAGCCTCTCCCGATGTCACTAACATTGTGAGTATGGCTTTGACTAGAATCATCCGTGCAGTCCCTCCTCCAAAAAGGGTCTGGCCTACCAGCCTAGCTCAACCAAAGGTCACATTTCAATGCTGCTTTATGAGTTTGTTGCTTTTTAGGAGAAATGATCCTAGCACCTTGAGTGAAGAGGGGAAAATGGCGATTGCGTCTGCGTTATAAGCCCTCTGTGGTTTCATGTTTTCTTCAGCAGTGCTGGAGTAGGTAAAGTTTCCCTTAGAAACAGGCAAAGCGCACCAAATACATCCAAAACTGATTATAGGCCAAGTCACAGGGAAGACTGCGTTTCCGTTCTGAAGGATGAAATTTAAGTCCGAACGGCTCTAATTTCTGCTTGCATAGCTTCACTGGCTGCCATGAAATTGTGGCATTTGTATCTGTGAAAGGGTATCAAATGCTTAAAACCTAACAATTAAAAAGTAAAAAAGTTGAACTTGAGATATTCCCCTTAGATGAGAAATTCCAGGGACTGGTGCCTTTCAAACGAACATGCTTAAATCTAAAAAATGTGACCTTTGGGGGATAACACAAAATGCAGAACCTGACTTACCATAGAAATCAGTGTTTGTATACCAATAGCCTAGTTACCAAGAATAACGGCAATAGAAAGAACGTGATGCTTTTCTGAGCTGTGTTCTAGAGATAATCGTGCTGTTTGCATTTGTCAGGATAGACAAATACTCAACTTACGACCGCCTGCGCTTTGAAAGCAGCTTTCTACCAGTAAATGATGTTACAGATAAGTGTTCCCAACAACAAAAATTTAGTAATCCAGGTACGCTGGACTCATAAGTTTTTCTCAGTTAGAAGAATCTTGCGTGGAACCTAGTAAAGGTGTTGAGCATGCCGAGTTGTTTGCTTGAATCCTTAGAATAGACTTTTCTTGACAAAGTCTCTTACTACTTTCATACTTTTTAATAGGCACAATCTTTCTATAAAAACTTTATTGATCCTATGAAAGCCGACCAGGAATTCTTATGGAAGCAATTAAAAGTATTGTGTTACCAGACGTTTGTGTGCAAAGTTTAATGCGTTACAATTTATGCTACACAGGTGTCTTGGCTTTTACTTGGTAAGCTGAAGTTCCCTCTTGAGTTACTAACTGTTCCCAAAAGCTCAATTGCTTTGCTAATTCAAATAGAAAAGGGTCTGTATAGAAATTTGATCTGTAGACTGTGTGAAATGTAAACCTTATTCACATTTTAAACAGCTCATTCCTCGGGTAATAAAGTTTATATAGATGAAATTCTCTATTAAGATTTGTAGCTAGGGCTGTGGGATTTTGTTTGTTGCCTCCTTACTAATCACAGCTGGTCATATAATGTTAATTTTAAAATGACAAGATAAATCAAGTGTGGAGAGGGATTGCTTTAATTAGAAGTTCGTTAATAGTAGGCAAGCTCAGGCCGCTGCTTTTCCTACGTCTAGATGAAGGACAAGAAGGCGGTGGACTCCTGATTCTGATGCAAAAGATCTTGACCAGAGTGTTCATTTTGGCAACTGCAGCTTAACTTGATAGTTGTGGGGGGTGAAAGCCTTACAACGGAATATACTCCAGCTTTAGAGTAAGGAGAAGGAACAATTAACGCCAAGAAGTAATCGATCCCGCTGCGTTGTCGTAACACAGCAGATAATGTACAGAGGGTCCTGGTTACCAACCTGTCCCAGTACCTAACGTTCCAGGTACCGATGAGCTGCACAGGGACTCTTTAGTCCACTTCAGGACAGTGCACTCTGAATTCTGGACAGTACAAAATTAAGCTTAGAAACACCATCGTCAAGGAACACTCACTTTCAGGGTTCCTTTGCAAATCTATGCAAAAAGCACTTTAAATATATCACCCCTACTTCGTTACCCTGGTCTGAGGTTCCACATCGCTCCAGTCAGCTTTCCAAAATTTCATATTCTCCCTCAAATTCCGTGAGCTACGAAAGGCTTGAAACAAGATTCATTCCATAGCCTGCAGACAGAGCCACGCTGCTTGAGCACAGATTTTTACACGTTTCATATGCTGGCTCGGCTGTGCGCAGCCATTGCGAGGCCTTTTAATGCTGCCAGCTCCGCACAGCGTGCAGGAAGAGACCATCTGGAAAAATATCCCCCTTCCATCTTGGGGCTCGTGTGCCTCGCAATGCCTTGAGAGAGACAGGCTCGATACGCTCTTATCTCCTGTGCACGAGCTGAGAAGACCAAGGAACATATGCGACCAGGGGAGTCTATAGGGCAGAATTTTCTATAAGCCAGGATTTTCATTCTGACCCGCTGTAGTGAGATTCCGTTTGGGATCACCGAGTTTGCAAGCGGAGGCGTACCCAAGCCCAGCGACGTGTACGCACGCACCCTTCTGAACTGCCCGTTACTGGGTCTGAAGTCAGATCCTCAGCGGGCGGAAAGGCGGGTCTCTGCACGAATTGATGTGGGTGGAATTTACACCGTCGGAGCTCTGCTTCTTCAGGGAGGTTTAGGACACTGAAATACTTTTGCTTTTCTGCAGCGTGGAGAAACTGCGTTGCACATGGCGGCACGTGCTGGGCAGGTGGAAGTAGTTCGCTGCCTCCTGAGAAACGGGGCCCTGGTTGATGCCCGAGCCAGGGTAGGTGTTCTGCTTACAATTTTTTTTTTTTTTTTTTTTTTTTTGCTTTCTCTTACTCAAAACCACACCTGAAGCAGAGGAGCTAGGGAGGAGCGGTTTCAGTTTTATTTGATCTGTTGATTCAATATTAAGCACACCTTGAAAACCCTTCTGAAAACAGTAACGTATTTATGCGTAGATTTTCCAAAGAGAACGTGTGTGGTGGGCTGACCCTGGCCGGCAGCTCAGCCCCGCTCGGTCATCTGCTTGCTGCCCCTGCAGCAGGATGGGGAAGAGAACTGGAAGGGCAACAGCGAGAAAATCTCTTGGGTTGAGATAAAGACAATTTAACAGGTGAAGGAGAAAGAAAAAAACCAACAACCACAAACCCACCAAACGAACCCCTCCCTGCCACAGGCAATGCAAAGGCAGTTGCTCGCCACCGCCCACAAGCAGACCGATGCCCAGCCAGTCTCCGAGCAACGGCTCCTTTGGAAAAATTCAGCCCCTAGTTTTATTGCTGAGCATGACGTTATATGGTATGGATTATCTCTTCGGTCAATCCGGGCCAGCTGTCCTGGCTGCGTCCCTTCCCAGCCTTTTGCCTGCCCCCAGCCTTATTCCACGGTGGAGGGTAGAGGGAGAAACGGAGAAAGCCTTGGCACTGTGTAAGTGCTGATCAAACACTGGTGCGTTATCAGCGCTGTCTTGGTCAGAAATCTAAAGCAGAGCACCATATGGGCTGCTGTGATGAAAATTAACCCCATCCCGTCCAACCCCAGCACAATGTGCCTGACTCAGACCAGCCATAGCTATTCTGTCTGAGCAAGGAGGTGCACAGCCATGTCCTAAAACCAAACATCAGAGGTTCTGATAGCCATTAGTGCCAGATTTTGAAACCAAGGGGACTGTTCATAGAGCAAGGTACAGCTGTTGTAAAACCGATTAAGAACACAAAGGGGAGCAAGTGATGCTCACAGTGATGGGCGCTATCTGCTTGATAAAAGGAGAAAACAATGTTTCTCTTCATAGTTCTCTGTATTCTAGTAAGACATTGCCAAAGCTCATCACAAAAATTAACCTGCCAACCCTCCATTCCTGCCTTTTTTTGGTACTACCTATGATGTATTGCAAGACGAAAGCATAGATAGATCTACTGGGATCAACCAGAATATTGTGTGGTTCTACCTGCGCTAATTATCTCCTCGATTTGAGTTGTAGGAAGAACAGACTCCACTGCACATTGCTTCTCGCTTGGGTAAAACGGAGATCGTCCAACTTCTGCTACAGCACATGGCCCACCCTGATGCTGCAACAACTAACGGGTACACCCCGCTGCACATCTCTGCCAGAGAGGGACAAGTTGACGTCGCATCAGTGCTCCTAGAGGCAGGTGCCTCGCACTCCATGTCCACCAAAGTAAGACAAAATGCTTTACCTCTGTATTCCGGTAGCACGGGCAATGCGTGCCAGCACACGCCTGTTCCATGAGGAATCCACTGAGAACTTGAACTAGTTTGGGTCTTTTGTTTTGCTCTTACTTAAACAGCGATCCAGTAGACTGAAGTAGCGTCTCAGAAGTTAATCAAATTTTGACAAGTTTTGCTATCATCTGAAGTTGGGAGTTTGGTTCCCACTGGGGCCAAATACAGATCCTGATAAATGCACGGTCCCAACATGTTTAAAATGGACACGACGTACTTGTTTCTCTCTTCCCATTGTGTTATGGGTAGGGCTTTTTTGGCCAAAATTTTCAAAAAAGGAAAAAGGGATGACAGCGACGCTTTTTTTATGAACAGGCCAGCTTATTCTTCAATACCTTGTTTATTTAAATAGGAAAATAATTCTGGTCTCTGCTAGCTGAAAGGAATGTTCCTAAATCGTACAAGTCAGCATCTGCCCGGTTGCATCTAATGCTCGATCTACTTTCAGTGGTTCCATAAATGAGGTGTTATATGACACAATAGGCCATTTTGTCTGGGGTTATAAAATGACTGTCTGCAGAATCATTATTGTTTTGTTAGCCGAAAATGTTTATCAGTAGATTGCTAACAGAGCTATGAACACGTAAGAAAATAGATAGCTGTGAATAGAATTATTTGCCAAGATAACTTTTCCAAATTTATCGCATGTGATTACGTGAGAATCACCTCATTCTCACTATTGGTTTTGGTCTTGAAAAAGTACCCCTAATTTTACAGCTGGAGCCCAAAACATATTTTTGATCAATGGGATGTCTTCCAGGTTTTAGAAGATTAAACCAGCAATTTTCAAATTACGATCCACAGATTACTGGGAATGCTTGCTGTTCTCCTTTCATCCAGCTGTTAAATCACCTTAAAATGGCTAAAAATACACTAAATACTTTCCTAATTTCCCATATTGCTTTATGGCAATTGCTTTAGTGCTGCAGGAACATTCTAGAATTATGAATAGGAGCAGATGTAGTCCACTAGATAATCTCTCTACAAACCTGTGATTCATGAACTGGAAATATTTGAGATTCCCTGACGTAAACTCTTTTTGAGGTGGGACTAATGGAACAAGAGGATAATGATAACACACATTGCACACGACTGATGTGTCAGGCAAATAGGTCATTGTAGCTCCCTGGAATTGCTGTCGGGGCAGCGGTGTAGTCTGCCACCTGCTGCCTTGCTTCCGTGAGTTTTCCTTATCAACACGATTTTTTTAAATTAAAAGAACAGGCAAAGAGCGTGTTAGTTTGACATAGACCTTACGCCCGCGCTGGACTGACAAGCGTTACTAAAACAAATAGAAAAGGGCTCTTTTTTAAAAGACAAAATCTTTAGTCTTGCCACAGTGTGTTTCCAAAAGCACTGCCGTTGAGTCAGGCGTGACAGAGGCTGCAGCAGAACTTGGTGACTGGATGGATACCTGAGTCCAAATACAAATCATTCTTCAACAAACTCTCCAAAGGAGGCATACGAAGTTTGGGGCTTTTCGCGCTGAATTTCATTGGTGTTTGATTGTTAATGGCAACAGTGGATACAGGAAATATTTCTAAAGTTGTCATGAAACTAAAAAGCGCAGCTGGCTTGGAGTAGAAATTTGAACAAGTGCCTTCGTTGCCCACACACACAGTGTATGTTGCTAGTAGAGTCTGTATCAGCTAAAATGTCTGACAGCAGGTATATAGGGAAGAATAACAAAAGGGAAAGTATTTTCTTGTATTTCATGCTTCTCCAAGTGCTTTCAAGCGATGATGCTCTTTCTAGGAATGGCTGTCAATTTTGCCAGCTAGAATATAGGTTGAAGAATAAGTGCTTAATGCATAATTCTTAAAATGTCGGTATGACCTTTAACGCAAACATCTGCTTTTTATCTCCTGCCATTTTTCAGAAGGGATTCACACCTTTGCATGTGGCGGCCAAATACGGGAGCTTGGAAGTGGCAAAACTCCTGCTGCAGCGCCGTGCCTCTCCCGATTCGGCTGGCAAGGTACTGACGAGAAAGAAAACAAACAAAAAAGTCAGCAGTGTTTTGGATTCTTCCTTAGGAAAGAACAGTGTGAAACATGCACGTGGAAGAAGGCTGGGGCTGCTTTCACGTGGCGGCATTGGCTTGATTAGGGTCGTGTTCCCCAGGGGTGACGGGCATGTGCACTACCTGTGGAAACCGCGCCACCGGGTGTGCTGGGTTCGGGTCCCTGGCGGGAGGGCACGGTGCACGCGGCTCTGAGGGGCAGATACATTTCTGTCGCTCAGAAAGCGCCGATTCCATTAAGCTGTCCAACGTGTCAGAATCCTACTGGATAAACACGGGGGCAAGACCCAGTTTTCCCCACCCTGTTGCTGTAGGGAATGGCTTAGCATGGGCTCTGAGGAGAGGGACCTGTGGCCGCCGGGCTTCCCAGATTCGCCCCCCTCCGCTGCTTCTGCCCCGCTAACGTCCGGCTGCCCTCCGCCCCCGCTCCCATCCCGCTCCCCTCAGGTACTAACGCGTCCCTAACGCCGTAACCACCCTTACAGAACGGCCTCACCCCCCTCCACGTGGCGGCCCATTACGACAACCACAAGATCCCCAAGGGTGTGGGTGGGCAGACGCTGGGACGGGGCCGCCCGGAGGGGCTGGGGGGGCTTTGGAGGTGGTCACGGTGTGACCAGGCAAGTCGCTGAGCCCTGTGAGGTTCACAGAGTGGGAAGGTGGCCCTGCCTGGGTGACCCCTACCTGAATTAGGGTACGGCACTCTCAGACACGTGTTGAAAAAGAAGAAATATTTATGTGTATGTACATACGTATGTGTGTGTCTCAGCCCGTTTTTATGTTTGTGAGCTTTAGTCACAGCTAGAAATCACTTTAGTGCTGTGTAATACTGGAAATGATGTGTATATTCTGACCGTGCATATGCAGGATTTGTTCCAGGGTTAGGAGCAGCATCATAGAACAGAGTCATGGAATCATTTAGGTTAGAAAAGCCCTTTAAGATCAAGCCCAACCGTTCCCCTACCCCTGCCATCCCACCCCCAAACCCTGTCCCTAAGCACCTCGTCTGCCCGGCTGTTAAATCCCCCCAGGGGTGGGGACT